GTGGGCAGTGTGTGGCCCCCTTACTTTTTTTTTTTTTTTGCTTCACTATATACAATTTGTGTTATTGTGCAATGATGTCATGATGGATGTGAGGCCTTGATGGCTTGTTCTGGAAGCCTTCACGCATTCTTCTGTGGTCCAAGAGACTCCAGCACATCCTGGCTTGGGGGATTTAAGAAGACTTGCAGTGGCTCAGAGCTTTTGTTTCACTCTCCAGCTGAAATACCTTGAATCAGGTGGTTTTTCCTACTTTGAAGGGGTTTAAAGGCCCAAAGGGGGCTCCCCCTTAAAAGTGTCCAACTCTTCCAGTCAGCTGAAAAATTTGGCCTCGCCCTGTTCAATGGCATCATAAAATCACTGGTCACATCCCTCTGGCCCTTGGGGGTTAACCATTAAAAATATTTTAGGAGAAGCAAAAGAGAGAAATGGAGCATTCAGGCCTGGTACAACAAACATGGGTGGGTTATGAACAGATCCAAATCATCTTGCCAATGTCAGTAACATTTTGCCTTCCATTCCCACCAGCTCACTATCATTTTCAAGAGCTTCCAGGAGTGTGTGGATCAAAAGGTGTACCAGGCAGAGATGGATGAACTCCCAGCAGCCTTTGCTGATGGCTCCAAGAATGGCGGTGACAAGCATGGTGCTAACAGCCTGAAGATCACCGAGAAGGTGTCTGGCCAACACATTGAAATTCAGGCCAAATACATTGGCACCACCATCGTGGTGAGGCAAGTCGGCCGCTACCTCACCTTTGCCGTCCGGATGCCAGAGGAGGTCGTGAAAGCTGTGGAGGATGGAGACAACCAGGGCCTCTATCTCTGCCTCCGGGGTTGTCCACTCAACCAGCAGATAGACTTCCATGCCTTCCATTCCACCCCAAAGGCTACTGAAAACCGCCCCCACCGGAAAGGCTCAAACCTACCTTCTTCACCAGAGGCATTCACCTACGAAACAGCCACAGCCAAATGCAAAGAGAAACTTCCAGTAGAGGACTTGTACTTCCAGTCCTGTGTCTTTGACCTCTTGACTACAGGCGACGTCAACTTTACCCTTGCTGCTTATTATGCTTTTGAAGATGTCAAGATGCTCCACTCCAACAAAGACAAGCTTCATCTGTTTGAAAGGACACGACACTTGGAGTCAGGCAATATGGCCAGCTTAGAGCCTTCCGTGGCTCTGTTTCTTTCACTCTTGGCATTCCTATGCTTGAATCAAAGTCCAGCCCTTTTCTTATAGATGTGCATAGACACACCTGGTTGAGCTGGGAAACTGAGGAACAAAATTATGGCTTGTGTGAGGTGTGAGACTGACGCAACCGGGAGCTTGTGTACATTGACCCAGATATTTCCAGAAAACACCACATTGAATGAGTTTGGATCTTCCTGCCAACGAAGGTTTCTCCACGTGGAAGAGTTTTCAGGAGACTAGAGGTCACATGAGCTACATTTCTTCCTCCTCCAGTTGCTATAGATGATGGAAAGCTCTTCTTTCTCACCTTCTCTCAGATGTCCTTTTCGCTGTACTACAAATGGTTGTGGTGGACATGACAATGGCATTTGTATAATAGTGTTTGGAGAGGCAACCAGAATTGTTACTTCTGGAAATAAGTTTATAATTGTGCGAATAGTGGCTTGGGAACAACAGAAGACTGTTCAAATAGTCCCTAAGTGGGCCGGACATGGGCAGAGTCTCATTGCCTTGGGGGTCTCCCTTTCCATCCTGCTCATGAGAAATTGGTTCATGGGGTTGCATCCTTGGGCATGGATGCCTGCCGGTGCATGCCTCTCTCCAATCTGGCTTGGGCAGCTGCTGGCAGCTGTTGG